TCTACGTTTGTACCAATGTGGAATGAATAACTGTTGACATGCAACAACCAGAGGTTTCCGGGCTGTTAATAACTTTTTGTGTAACTGATCGTGTGCTTGAACCACTGAGAAGAAAAGGCTCAGAAACAACAAAGACAGAGAAGCAAAAAAAAAACAAACAAAACAAACAAAACCCAAAAGAGACAAAGAGAGGTTTCAGTGCTTTTGATATTGTCAGGTTTGATTTAACAGTTTAAACGCCTCCTAAAATAGATTACATTTGGATTCAGTTAGAAGAAAAATTGACAAAATTCAAATGTTGAAACAAGGACATCAAAGTAGGCAAAAAATAACCATAGAAAGATTCTAAAAGTATGATCCAAACTGTTTTCTTAATAATAAAATAAAAAGATAAAAAAAAGTATTTAGCATTAGCCAAATATCACAGAATACATACTGTAAAACTAAGCTAAGAATGTTAAAACAAAACTTTAAAAGCTTTAAAAATGTATTTAAAATTACTAAACTAAAATGCATTTGAAATGAAACCAGTAATTCAAGAAAATCAAATGATTGTAAGATTACAGACAACTGGCCTGATGAAACCAAAAATAGGATAAAGTCAGTGTAAGTATGTGCAGCTACAAGACAGCTGTGTACTTAATTACATAAGTGCAATTAAGAAAATAATGGTTAAAATAGGACAAAACATGGGAAAGGTACAAAAAACATATCCAAACTGAAGCTCAGAATTATCACAAAAAACAAAAACCCTTTTCCACAACTTGTTAAATAAAGATATTTTCTTAAAAATGTTAATTGTATGCAAACTCTATATTAAAATTGCAAAATACTTGCTAAAAAAAAGCATCTTAAAATATTCACCAGTGAATTAATGCACCCTGAAAACGACCCATAATGCATCTAAAGCGATAAAACGGCTCCATGTCTAAAAGTGACTTTCCTCTCCTGGTCTCAAGTGGTGGTTTAGTGGAACGGTCTGCGTACAGTATTTATAAAGTAAACTTGAAAACAAATGTAACAGTCTTTTAAGTACTGTACATACAGCAGAACTTAACCACCAGAAGAACGGGCCACTGTTTTACCATGTTCTTCTGAGAGCCTCAGACCTGGACCTGGTGAAGTTCTGCATGTGAGAATGTGTCCTGGGACAGATGCCAACTGTCCGCCCACGGCTCCGAAGGACATTTACATACTGCATGTACTCGCCAATACCAAGTACTGATAATTCCTTAGGTTGGGTTTCAATAGAGTTACACATGTGTGAGGCCTGCCTGTGCATCCCTGATCAACATGTGGTCCAGGTTCCTGATCCTGGACTATTGAACCTGTTTTTTGAAACTATCTTTTGAAACCTCTGGCTCCTGGGCCACATGTGGCTTATCGACCGTTTTGCATTGGCAACATGTTGGATAATATTGACTATTTATAGATGAACCAAATACTATGGTCATCTACTGCTTTATTTTTGGCCACAGGAAGCTGGAGCCAATCGTCAGGTGAAGGCGGGGTTACACCTTAAGCCAATTTTACAAATCTTATTTAATGTTCAGATTGTTGCGAGAAAATAACAAACAACAACATAATGTCACTGTTGTCCTCTGACTAAGTCACTTATGGAATTTGATAAACTGAAAATTAGCATTTTCTCTTTTTCCTGTGATAATGCAGGTATGAATGTATAACTTCCACTCAATATAATTCTGTAATTTGACCACGTGGTGTGTGTGGTTAAAAAACAATGTAACTGGCAAATAAAACTCAACTCAATTTATTTACACATGTCCGACATTACTTTAAAAATTCAGCAGAGATCCTTCAACGTTCTTCTGCTGCCAGCTGTGTCCAGTTCTTATATAGGTTCTCTGTTTGACCCTCAGGATAGAACTGAGCCCCTGACCTGCAGTACAGCCTGACACTCAACCATGGTGATTTAAAGCTCACTTTTACATACAGAGGCGTTTAAAAGTTCCTGTTTAAATCGATGCAGATGTGACCTTAAAGAACACAGGCTCTAAAAAAGCCACAAATTGTTTTAAACAAATCTCAGTGCTTCGCCTGTTTCCTGCCTGTGTTTTTGTATAAGTGAATGCTTTTACGGGAACAATTTTATACGCGTGTGCAGACACTGACGAAGGTCGCTGTCATATATTCTGGTAAACAATTAATGTCATTCAAAATCTGGCATACAGCACACACACACACACACATCTTCCAGCGAAGTAAGGCCTGAATAAGACAAGACCCATCACGTCTGCTCTGAGCGAGAGCAGACACTGTTGACTCACTGCAGTCTACAACAGAGGTGCTCGGCCTGTGTCCTGCCACAGCTATGCACTGTCTGACCAGAACACATGCACACACACACACGTCTATGGATGCAGACGTTACACAAACAGTGGAAGACACGTATACATACATGCAGGTCTATCAACACACACCTAATCCTGTGGTGTGTTCTTAAATCCACCACAGTCGTCATGGGATGGGAGGAAAACTTTTCCTTGTTCTTTCCTCCCCTCTGGGATTAAGACCTAATTGTTGATTACTTCATTTATCCGCTGGAGTGTGAGAGAGAATGTTTGTTCGCAGAGCCAGGCGTTAGACCTGTTGGACACATTAATCCTTAAAGCCCACTTGTGTTAAAAGGCTCCAGTTACCCTCTCCACAAATCCTTCAGTCAAGTACCAGGAGTGTGTCTGACACACACTATCTCTCTACACACACACAAATTGAGAACCGAGTCGGGAAAGATCAAGCAAAAACTATGCAAAAACACGTTGTCAGACACAGACTCTTCATGGTCTACATTAGAAAACACAGTCAAAAAGCTGCAGTCAGACCCTCGTCCAAATGTTAACACACTTTGGCTTCACTGTTTTTTAAATTATCATATTTAAAAATATCTTAAGGTTATATTTAGGCACTCCTGGGTATATGATACCAGGGAAAAGTCTCAACTGCTTTTCATTAAAATGAACTGTGGACCATGGGCACTGGACCTGTTTAGTCAGGGTAAATGGCTCGGCTTTTGACAACTTCTAGGGACAGGGCTGAAATTCAGTATGGCCCAAGATGACTGAAAACATCTAATGTTGTTATGATGAGCTTCTTGTTGACTATGTTTGCTTTAAATAAAAGGAAAAAGGCTGTAAAAAGAAAAAACGAAGGTAGAGGCAATACATACACTTGCCTAAAACCTTTTTAAAAATTAGTTCAATGCAGCTTTGTTGCATCTTTGTTGCATCTTAGTGTCTTACCTTATCAGGTGATAGATAAACTGATAATTTAATAATTACTCAAAGATAAATGAAGGGATTTGACATAAAATAAAATGCTACTAATGAAGTCATAGGTGTGATTCACTACAAGCGCCTGTTAAAGTAGAAAGTGACAAAATGTTCTCTTTCTATGTCTGTAAAACTGGGCCATAAACCAGTACACGTCTGACTTGTCACAACATCATTTCATCAAATGACCTAAAACCCGAAGGCATTCACGGGGTGCACAATTGCACGCTACCCTGTGTACCTGGTTCACACCTCCTGCACGCTAATGCAGGGAAGGCCTAAAGGCAGCCCACATTTACCAACCTACAGCCGCACGTGCGTAGCCACCCGCAGTCAGACAGACAGATAAGGAAACACATAACCGGTGTCTCACCACAAACACACACGCAGACAAACCCGACACACCCCACCATTCACCATCAGTGCTCTTGTTTACTCATGGCCATCAGTGCACTTCAGCAGCAAACCCCATCATTCCACACATTCCTGCGTCCCCTTGGCATTTTATGTGCTTTGCAGAAAGACTTGTTAGCTTTTAAAAACAGCAATTATATAGGTGTTACTGGAAAGGCTGCGAATAAAAAGTGAAATGCAAATGATGGCCAGAGCCACAGCTTTATATATTTTTGTATTTAAAGTGTGATCATTAGTTTTTGTGCTGGCCTGCTCAGATAAACACAGGGCCCTACAAACAAATGGATAAAAAAGAGAAAAGAACCAATAGAAAACTGGGACCTGTTTCCAGATTACTTTAATCTGTGCAACACTGCCATCTGTTGACAACCCACCACAATCTCAATCGCTCCAAAGACTAACTTTATTTGCTTATTGCCAGGCTCAGTATTACATAACAGGCCGAAACAAAGGATGCACTTATGATTTGTTTGACACAGAAAAGCAGAAAGTGTCTGGCCAAAGAGATAATTGTCTGTATTTACTTTAATTCTGTAAATGCAGGCTTCCCTCCCACAGACCAAAGATATGTAGGCCAGGTGAACTGTGTGACCTCCAAACTGCCTGTTAAGTGTGGGTTTGCTTGTGGCTTGTTTTTGTCCAGTGGAAGACGAGTGACCTGTCCAGGAGACTCAGACACTCATTTATTTTTTTAACACGTTGGCCAGTTTTTAGTGTTTCAGTTGTTTTCATACTTTAACAACAACTCACCATTTAGTCTACTAAACTTTCATCCATTACTATTTTTTAATATTATGTCAGTTATTGTAATTCTTTATTTTTTATATCTAATTTATATTTTACAATATTTTATTGCAAATATCTTAGGAGAAAATATAAGATAGGATAAGACTTTATTAATACCACTAAGGAGCAAAGCACTTGCTACAGTAGCAGAGTAAACTGAGTTGGAAAGAAATCATAGGGAAAATTAATTATATATATTATATAATATATATAATTATATATGTGATAGAAACAACAAGAAGGAAGAAAATTATATGTATAACAATTATAGAATAAACATAATATAAGAAAGATATTCACATCAGTCTTGGATTGTTTGATGCACAACTATCTGTGTTGAATACTTGATTGTTTAGACTGAGGGTATTATGATTGTTGACATTTTAAAATTCATTATCATTCAAAAATAAATTTAAACACCGTTGTCTTACCTTTCGAGCCAAGTGTTTGAGAGGTATTTAATTTTTTGTTCTCAGTTGTACATTCGCTGCAGTGGATGTGTGGGAGGAGTTTAGTGAGAACGTCATACATCAGCGCCGCGTCCACAATCTATGACGCACTGCTCTTGACGTTCAATGACAGTTAGCTAACATTATTTTATGATTAGTGTAGATTAAATACAGTGGTTCCGACCATGCAGAGAGCTGCATATACAACGGATTCACTTGTTAAAAGATGGCTGCGTCACCGTTTGAAATGCAGAGGTAAGAAGCGGAAATGTCATTGCAACAATGAAGGCTACGTGCTAAAATGCTAAAAAACACTTCATACTGTTTTTATCATGCGATGGTTTGACGGGTAATCCTGTTTAGGTTTCCTGGCAGTTAAGTGTGTATTTACTTATCACTATTGTCGTTTTTGTCATATTTTATTTTCATTCGTGCACAACCCAAACGCCTGTTGTTTCTACTGTTTGTCAGCAAATCCATCGGGAACTGAAACTAAGTAGTTACAACAACGTTGTTTAGTAAACTACATTTGTTTTACCGTTTTTACAGTGAGAATAAATCTTACGTTTTCTGTCCATTTCACTGCAGTTGATGGTACTGGTAAACCAGTTAAAGTGAATGGCTTCACTAACAGTTTTTTCTGTGGTTAAACAGCACCTCTTCAGGTCAGCATGCGTCCCTACAGTGTGTTTCCTCCTGTAGACAGCGAGGAGAAGAAGATGTTGGACAGAATGATGCGTGTGGACCACGCAGGTGAATATGGAGCCAATCGCATTTATGCAGGACAGATGGCAGTGTTGGGTCGGTCCAGAAGTGCACCTCTCATCCAGGTGGGACCTCAGTGATACGTGGATCTAACAAAATAACTGCTTTAACACATTCTGTGAACACAGTGAGATTGGTCTGAATTAGATTATATATTTCATTGTGTTACTCTTGATGTGTGACTTTTCTTAGCTGTTCATTTTCCTGCATAAGTCAGTATTTCATGATGGAATGTAACAAACATGGCTTGTGGTGAATGTACTCTACAAAAGCATAAAACATAAAAAGGTTTCATTTTGTGTCTGATGAAGATGACATGGTGCTGCAGACTTAGTAAAACCACAGGTTCACACTCAGCCATAGTCAAGGCAACTGTAGAATTACATTCAAAGACAATATCTAGCAGTGACTTGTGTAATGTAAATGATATAAAAAAGAAAATACAATTCACTGTGTACTGTATTGTAATGTAGCAGTTCCACATACCAGCATCTGACTACTGATGTATAGTGTAGAAGTGTTCTGAAGTGTAATGTGAACTCTGAGTGCAGCACCCGCTGTGTAGGTGTATGAAATATTATATTATCTCTATAGACCTATAAGCTGTGTCCCTATTCAAGTTCTTCATGGTATGTCTGCTTCAGCCTAGGTGGTCTGTATGGGACAGTCCAGCCTACAGAATGTTAGTAAATTGCATCTCCAGCTGCTGCTGCTGAATTATTTGCCATTTGTTTAGACGTTCAGGGCAGAATTTGGCTGTGTAATGGACACAGTCCATACTTTTGGAATTTTAGACAAAAACAAATTTACAGTGGCCAGGAAATGGAACCACAATTAAATTAAATGTGTCCAGAAAAATAAAGGCGGCAACAGTCTGTACAACAGTCACATTTACAAGCAAATGGATTTTTGTTTCATTTGACTGATCTGTTGAATCTGTTGTATTATGGATGTTGTGAAAATCACCATACTTTTTATTTTGATAACTTTTCATTACTTTTTTCTGATTGCTATTGCAAAACAAGGAAAACCAGCCAGCTCCATCAGGGTTGAACTAATTGATGGATAAATGGATGAATTTCTCTTTTATTTCCATACAGTATAAATGTTTGCCACTTCATTGTGTCCTATCTCTAATCTGAACTATTTCCTAAGTGGAACAGTACATACTAACATGAACATCGTAATGTCCGTGACTTTGCATTTTTGTAACACAGCATTTAATCTTTGTGTTCCTGTTTTTCTTTAGGAAATGTGGGAACAAGAAAAGAAACATCTGAAAAAGTTTGATGAGATCCTGGCTGTCAACCGTATTAGGCCCACAGCACTGTTACCCCTCTGGAATGTTGCTGGATTTCTACTGGGTCGGTACACAGTAGTTTAAACACTAATTGTTGTCTTAGCTTGAATGTTGAGATGTTTAAGTATAAACTTAAAAACGCTTGTTTTGTTTGTCCACTAGGGGCATCCACAGCCCTGCTGGGTAAAGAAGGAGCCATGGCCTGCACCGTGGCAGTGGAGGAGAGTATATCAGAGCACTACAACAGTCAGATCAGAACATTGATGGAACAAGATCCAGACAAATATGTGGAACTGTTGAAAGTGAGTCATATTAAAGGAAAATCAACATGATTAAATGGTTATCAGCATTGTCCCGTGAAGTAGACTACCAATTATGATACCAAAAAAATAAGATATTTTTATTCATTGAGTAACATGTTTGATGGGTGTAATATGCATCTTTTTAATTTTTTTAATAATTAATTCATTTTCTAACTGAACAGGTAATAAAGGAATTCCGAGATGATGAGATGGAGCATCATGACACAGGCCTGGAGCATGAAGCTGAATCAGTGAGTATATATATGTAATTATTTTCTAATAGTGTTGTTCTATTTTTTATTTTTTTTAAGTTTGTTGTTAGTTTGTTGTTGAGTTCTCATATTCAGCCCTAATAAAAAAAAAACCCATCACCACTGTGTTTAGAATGGAATTGTCTTTATTGTCACTGTAGTGTAAGACACAATGAATTTGAGTGTTTCCAATGTTGGGTAATTTCTTTTCTGTTTTTTTATAGCTTCCTGGATACTGGCTACTTAAAAATGCAATACAACTAGGCTGCAAATTTGCAATATACACTTCACAGCGTATCTGAATGTATATAAAAACGTTTTTTTGAAATATGTTTTGGTTCTTTGATGTGGTTTGTGTCTTTTTTTTGTTTTGCCATGCCTTTGCCGGTAAACAGTCATCGGATGCCACGTAGCCATCAGACATCTTCTGTCTTAAATGTCACATCTTGACGAAGTACAGCTTGTAAATACTTTTGTATTCAGTGAAAACTGTTTGAAATACTGGCTCATTAAATAAACTACTTGAGTTTCTGTTTTCTGGTCTCACTGCTCTTACTCCTCCAGTTGCAGAAAGAGACATTGCTTGCCTACAGATAATTATTTAATGCAGTGGTTCCCAAAGTGGGGGGCGGACCCCTATAAGAGGAGCACAGTTATCGCACAGGAATTTCTATTTTCAATATTTTCCTCATAGTTACGCAGTGGGGAGAGAGATTGTAATAGAATATTAGTTTTTCTTGGTATTAAAGTGTTTAGATAGAGCTCAGTGGACTGGATTAAACCCTTATGTCTCCTTATCTAATCCCAGGCAGAATTGATGCTTTTGAGGTCAGGCCTCTGTGCGTACCAGTCCATCATTTCCAGGACTCCTTGTTCTTCTTTGTACTGAAGGTAGTTCTTTCACATTAGTCTGTATTTCTGGGTCTTTATTCTGCTGCAGTCATCATGTACATTTATAGTAAGTGTCTGCTTTGAACCTCACCTCAGCCCTGCTCCAAGGTTTCCTGCAGACTCCTCTGTGGCCAATAATGTGATTTTTATTTACATACATTTATAAATTATTTGATTTTATTATTACATATATATTTTGATGAAATATCCAAGGCTCGTCACAGTCCGTAGCCCAGTGGTTGGGGACCTTGACTCTAAACCATTTATTGTCCTCTCGTGCCCTTTGCATTCGTGGAGTGTTTGTCCACTGATGTATTCAGGGCTTCTCTTTGAAGAGAAATCACTGGTTCATATATCAGTGTGAGCAGCAGGAGTGACTGGTGGAGGTGAGCTGTCATTCAGGTTCACAGGCTCTGGGATCTATTTTCCCATCATGAGGTCAGAGTATTTTTTTTTTTTTCAGCCGGGCTGGGATTGCACATCAGACCAGACCTCTGGGGTTAATGTGCCGCACTGTAAAAATAGGTTCATCTTTACTGTCCAAGTGTCCAGGCTAAGTGCCCCCACCCACTGCCAAGATTCATAGTCTTTTTCATAGTCTGTTTTTTGAGGGCACAGACAAATGTCCTGGCTGCTCCACAACTCCCTGCCACTAGGGGCTTGTTCCATAAATTGGCTGCCATAGACATGTTTTTCACATAACAAGTTGTGTAAGTTGTTATGATGTGACATGGATAAAAGGCATGAGCCGCTCATCCATCACGGTCTCACAGCACGGCCTCACAGATCAAAAGGCACAGCATCGTTTATTACCTCAACACCTCATGGATATTGCTGACAGTTTTATAGTGACGTGCTACTGTTTAAATAAAAAAACAAGCGCTCAGCTCCGTCTGTGGCACCGTCACGGGTGGAGAAATATCAGTATGACTCAGTCACTGTGCCAGCATTAAGAGTAAACCATCAGCACCACATCTAAGTGAGCCACCTTTAAAACCCCCGGGGCTTTTGAAATAGCACATAATAAATCAGACGTCTTGATTCTGTCCCCATCTATGGCTGTTGGGTGGAGTTCACATGAGTTGTTAGGGCTCTTTTCTTAGATTCACGTCCAAAGGAATCTGCTGAAACACTGACTGAGAGACTGGCAACTGGAATTTGCAGAGAACAATAAGTCTCGAGTCAACTAGGACTGTCTCGGTACCCATGAAGAATAGTGGTTATAAATTTTCAGCAGGGCAACCAACACAAATCCTTATGTCTTGAAAGCTTTCGGATACATATTGTATTGCTTCTTGGCGTGGATGCAGCCAGACTGTCAGTCATTGAGCTCGATGGAGATTTATGAGATGAAATGAGAATCATGAGCTCCATCTGTAGTGGTGAAAAGCACCGCAGGAATGAGCAGAGATTGTTTCAAGTATGATCGTGTTCATTTTTCTTTCTTTCACATTTCGTAAATGTTCCTTAGAAATGCTGAAAAAGTCATACGGAATGCTCCTTTTAGAACTGTTCTGTTATGATACATATGAATAATACCTGTCAGGCATCTATAGGTGAGCTCTGAGGAGACCAGTCGTCTTTAGTGTTGTTTTTTGGACATATGCACACAAAAATATATAAATATAGCTTGAGAGGAAGAAGAAGAAGCAGCAAAGGCCCGGTGACAAAAACATTTTCCTTAACTCACCTGCTCAGTTCAGTGTCATTTTCCAACGTGTTCCTATCAGGAACACAGTACTTTGTAAAACAGATAATGTTCTCTTTGGTTATATCATAATCACATTTTACTTTACTAAACTTTACTCTGATTATTTCTCTGACATTATTGACATTATTGGAAGGAAGCTGAATATTTCTCTCTCAGCCCATGACACACAGATGTCCTCTGTCATGTCATCATAACTCTAATGACTCATCAGTGTGTGTATCCTTGATATTTTAACAACAGCTTCCCAGAAGTCAGAGGTGGTTTGTTGAAGTGACTCAGTTGAGCTCTACCTCAAGCGTGTCTCTCGTTATCCATGTCGTCCACACACACACACACACACACACACAGCCGGTCAGCCCTATAAATAGTGATTGGTTTGCAGTTCTTTGGTATGTCTGTGCATATATACAGTATGCGTACATACATTCTGAACATACTGTATGTGATGTCATCGCATGCTTTTGAACAGTGATTCCCAACCTTCCCTCAGCCATGTCACATGATTTACATTAGAAAAATCCCATGCTGCACCACAAAACGAAAATGTCTGCAAACGTATACGTATTGAAATATACTTTCTGACTAATACTCACAATCTAAATACTCAGTATGAAACCTGGGCCTGTTTAGTTGAACACAGCTGATGCAGGCATTGAAGAAAGAAATTGGAGTAATTTTTCTCTGGTTACTCTGGTTCCCTCCCACCAGTGTGTGACCATAGGTGTGATATGTTATGGTGTCTATATGTGGCCCTGCAATGGACTGGGGAACTCTCCGGGGTGCATCTTGTCCATTATCAGCCCACTTTGTTCTCATTATTTATTTTCCATTCGAACACTTCGGGCACATGTGAAAACACATTACTGTGGAGAACATTGCTTGGCTGAAAGATCTATAGATTGCACTTGACCATGTGACCACTTAAATATTTGTGGGTAAGTGGGTGGTGTGCCTGTCAGAGTTGTGACCACATGTCCACATGTCTTAATGGTGTGAGGTGACAACACACGATGCAAAGGGGTGACATCACTCCAGCTGGAATCTGTGATTTATGTCCTGTCATGTCCAGCATCTGCTCTGGAGAAAGAAAAAACCTACAACTCATCAAGGTCGGCCGTCGAGGAAGGCTCACCAGCACCACATGTCCAAGCTAGAATTTTACAAGTGTTGCACAGAAAGCTCATATAATATCATCGATGTTCATTAAAACAAAAACAACACAGTTACTCACTGTAAATACTGGTTTGTGTAGTATTTAAATGGGATGTATGGACAGATGGATGGATGGACGAGTCTGTAACAATGAAACTGTCATCAGTTCCATTGCCTGTGATCCACACTAACCCCTGCAGTGTAGGTTTTGTGGGGCATCAAACTGTCGGTGCAGCACCTACTGACACGTGTCCAGATAAGCGCATCCTGACCCCCCTGCAGATATCCATCACTGCATTGACAGATCTGGTGGTTCATCGTGCATGACTCCAAGGCTGCGTTACTGCTACACTGTGTCATCAGCTTAAAAGACTTGGAGCTGGTCACCCAAACACTCTATGGTTTTCCTGTTTAAAACAGGTGCCCCTCTTAGATAAGAAGACATCAGACTGCACGGCCACAGATGGCAGCAGCGCTACTAAAGAGTATTAGTTGCTCCTTTGCATAAACTCACTTCTAAATCTGTACCTGCAATACACATTGAAAACTGAAAACTGTTCATTTTGTTCGAATTCTGCCAGAAGAAAATTAACAGGGGAAGGGTGCGGGAGGGTCAGGAGCAGATAGATGGAGCATTTGTGTGAACTAAGATAAATGCCATGAGATAAAAGATGATAAAAGTCATGCATAAAGGCTAAATTGCTAAAATGCTTTTTTATCATTTTCTACACCATCTATTGGGGAACTGGGGCATTGCAGGAAATGGCAGAAGTATAATGATAATATAAATAAATTATATAATTTGGAACATTTTGGCGGGCCCTGGGCCTTAGTTTGCCCATGTCTGGCTTAACCATTATCTGATTCTGATCTTCAAGATCTTCAGTAATAGACTGATCTGGACTGCAGGCAGGCAGTTATTATTTAAATGATATAAAAATGTTTATATCTACATATCTTCTAATTATTTACTTTATTATGACCAATAAACCAAATCAAATTCCTTGTATGTGTAATCAGAAATGGAAAACATTCATTTTGATTCTGGTATTTTGTAAAAAAATCATATAATCATGCATTTGTAATTTGATGCTTTTAGGTCACTGTTGTTTATCACATTCACACCATCTACTGTTACAGACTGTGGCTACAACTCTAATATTATATGACATATATGAGTAAGGTGAGCAGCCTGCTGTGACTTCTTTTAATCATAAAATACAGTATATTACATTCACACGTCACCTGTCGCCTCCTGTGGTGAGTGGCTCACCCCATTCTGACCATCTTGACTACTAACCTCTCTTTTATTCGTCATTTTGATAAAACGGCCATTGGAAAACAAATCTATGTGAGAATCTACGTCTGACTGCTTAAAGATGTGGCTTTTTTTGTCCATCTGCTCTTTGACTGCAGTGGTTCAATACTTTAAAACAATCCTGTTAAGACCATTTCTCTCAGCCACACTGATTGAATACCACTCTTTATCTCAAGTCTCTAATCATGGACTTCATTCCAAACCATTATCTTCCAAAATGTCTGGAGCTGTTTCAACATTTTTAAAAATGTTGCTCTTATCTCTGATTCATCATGAGCCACGCTCCCTATTGTGGGTGACAACATGGATTCAGAGTGATGCTGCTGCTTGTCTCATTACACACAACACACACCTAATAATGGATGATCACTTTTTTTTTTACTTCATATAGACTTGTCGTGTGTTTGGGTCGGACCACCGTGTGCTTTTAATGGATCACGTGGCTAGATTTGGCAGCGAATACCTGCAGGTCACAACCTTTTGTGCTCCGTGGTTAGGGTTGAAGAATCCGGCATATGACTACTGCCTGTGGCGTGTTGTTCTTTGAAGCGATCAGCCGACAAATACTCCCGCTCGTGGCCAGGCACCTCAGATATTAAAGTTGGTGATGACACAGGTGCTCAGCAGACAAAGTGCCTGGACCACCCGGGGTTTAGGTGTCCTGACCTTGGAGGGTGGCCGTGAAAAACAACAACACAAAGGGGGTGAAAGAATGCCCCCTACTCTGCACAAGAGGTCACGCTGTTGCTCCTGCTGGGGTGAAGTTCAACATACCTCTTTGGCCTCATATGTGTGCAAAATGTTTGTTTTTTAAAGGCTAGGAAGCCACTGTAATAGACTGACAGCTGCTTGTATAAGTGGGTCTATGGACCAGTACCAATGATCTTTACTGGGACAGTGTCTGCCCCACGTACGGTTTTGGGAATGAATTCACTGGAGATATAGAAAATAAAACCAACCTTAGTCCATGGATCTGAAAACTGCTCTGAAAAACGAATCATTCTGTCCAATCTGATATCAAAGAAAAACAAAATAGCAGCGATGCGGTCTGACTGTTCGTGACATTCTGGCAAAACATGATAGATTTACAGCAACTTCTTTTCGTTTTTCAGGTATTTGAGGTATCTGTTAAACAGATTGGTGCATTGAGTTCTGGGAAGACAGATGGTGGAGTGCATGCTTCAAGACAAGCGAAGGAATGAAGAATTGTTCAGCTCGGTAGATCAAATTCACTATAGTGATGTCCTTAGAGTACATTTTTATTGTGCGTAGGTGCATACAGTCTTACAGACATATTTCAGAATAGCTTTGTTTTCTTTCTGGACGCAGTTGAAAGTGGTTTAAAGAGCGTGAAATGCCTGAAAATGGAACAAAAATGTTATTTCCCCTCCGCCAGAGCAATGAGACAAACTTTGATAAATCTGTCTGCTTTGGTTGAAGGTCTCGGAATTGTACAACGGTGCCTATTACAGACGGCAGACAGTGTGATAATTGAACATCTGATAAACTGGAAAAAATATTAGTTTTAAGTTAATTCCACACCATTGTCCACTTTCGATTATCATCATGTTTTGACATTTGTCTTAAATTCAAAGGTGTTTCATGTATTTCATAGGTTTTAATGAGTTTTATGTCACAATGTGAAATAAATCCGGTAACAACCAATACCAATAAAAGAAGATTAGTGGATTATATGATTTTTTATTTATTTATTTAGAGTCCTGCCTAAACCTCTTGTCACCATGCAGTCCTTTCAGTCCCAGCAGCTCACTGCAGCACTGTGCAGCCTCTGGCCTCCCAAGTGATCATTATTGGCTGTGATTGACACGTTGGGATGGTGTGCATTTCATCGATGAGAATTTTAGAGCCCTGGGGCTCATGATCTTTCAGGGATCAGTGCGACGTCACCCTACAGCCATCCCAGGGGGGACAGTCACAGATCAGTTTCAAATACTCTGCATCTTCCTTCACTAAAGGCAAACTAACCCAACCTGCCATCTGGAAGTGTGCAGAGGACGACCTGGAAGGGGAAGTGTAAGGTAAGCACCTCACCCTTTGCATGAGCATTTTCAATCTGAAGGAAAGAAATTATTTGAACTGTTTGTTTTGTCTAATATAACTAAAATTTGTAAATGTTGGTTTTAAGCAACATTTAAAATATTAGCAAACAGTTAATTTTGTGTTTCGCAGCCACTTCCTCGCAGTAAAAGCATGCAACTGTTTGTTTTAGTTTTAACATGGTTATATAAAAGTTCCATAGATCAACTTTTGGCAATACATTTGATCAGAGTTGCAATTTACAGTCACATAATAAAAGCTAGTATACATTTTTAAATGATATCGTCAGCATAGAGTCGTATATAAGGATAATAGTCATATATTAAGTCTTGAGTTTTTAGAATCCCTCAGGCATAGTTAATCAAAATTAACTAATGATGTTAATTGTTGCTTGCTAAGTTAAGGTGTATATTATGTTTAACGCAACAGTCAACCAGAATGTATGTCTTCTCTGACTGAATTATCTGAGTCCTGATAATTTGGTGACCATGTGGGAACCTCATGTGACTCTTCATCCCAGTGTCTGAAAGTGTATGAGGTCACGCTGGTCTCCTGTGACCTCTAGGCCAGGAGGCTTGTGAGGTTGTGCAGTTGTGTCAGTCATGTAAATGTTTAAAATCAAAGGCAGACAAAGTCATATGGTGGGTGGGAGAATAATGGGACTGGAAGGAGAAGAGTTTTTTTTTTCTGAAGTGCTGAGAAACGTTGAAGAGATGTGTGTGCTATCTCTTCTCCTCGCCACTGGCCTTCCAGTTCCTCCCCTCCTGCTGTGTCGTCAGCAGCATCTCAGAGCATGGCAGAACCGCCTGAGAAAAAAGAAGGAAATCTGATCCATATGGTTGCACTATAAAGCTCAAGGCGGATTTGGATACTTCATCAAAACCTGGTCGAGACCTCGTCACTGCTCATCACCAGCATCCTCCACTCACAGCTGATCCCTGCACACTGACTGTTCTCCTTCTTCCTCAGCACTACCAGATGTGCTTTGGCCTCAAAGAGTGATTTTTTTAAAGTAGGTAAATGTTGACTAACATCATTTTGTCAGCAGGTGGTAAGATGAAGGATTTGTCATCTTTTATCATGTGACCATAAAAAGTAAGTAAATGACAGGATGTTTATTGATTGAATCTGTTTCTTATATTGACACAGAAATGAAGATTTTGGGCCAGATTGCTTTTTTGCTCATGTTGGGGGGAATGTGGTGTCAAAACCCAAATGCTAAAGTTAGTGGCAAATCCTCAAAAAGGACGGGCGGAACCTCAGCAGAAGATGTCGCCCAGTCAGCTCCTGTTGTAGATCTGACTGTGGGAAGTACTGGAGGAAGTGGAAGCGCACGAGGCAGTGGAGGCACAAGAGGGTCTGCAGGTGCTGGGACCACAGGAAACACAAGGGGCACTGCAGGTGCTACAGGCAGAGCAAGTGGTGGAGGAAGTTCTGGAAGAGGCAATGGAGGTGCTGCAGGGAGCGAAGGTGTTGGAGCCACTGGGAGTACAAAGGTCACCGCAGGTGCTGGTGGAAGTGAAGGTTCAAGAAGCACTGGAAGCACAAGGGGCTCTGGGGGAACAGCTGAAGCAGGAGCTCGATCAGCTGGACAGCAGACAGATGATATGAGGCTGCAATTCCTCAAGAACACCCAGGTCACATGTAACGATGGAACCGCAGCGGGGTGAGACTGAGCAGTTGATGCTTTCTCTGGCTTGTTTTTCCTGACAGTTTGATCTCGTCTGTGAGTTCTTCTCATTCCTTTTTATTTGTGGATGTACAGGTTTTACCTAAAGGAGTTCAGAGGAAGCCGCAGATGGCTGATATTTCTGGAAGGTGAGTGTTTCAACCTCCAGGTTGTTAATTTTGGTCTCAGAAAGGTCAGCTTCTTTTGGCCGATGCCCAATTGGAATTTTGATGGGGATGTCATCTTGTCCCATCATCTTCGTTTTCTCTCTTTTTATAGTAGCTTCCTGTCACTTTAAATGACTGGAGACGAGAAGGTTATGAGGATAATGCTCCAACTTAAAAAATATCCAAAAGAAGAGATATGCTTTGTATTTGAAAACACATTGCATGAGCAGGAAGTCGATCACTGTCCTGTTAGAAGTCCACTGCTCTCCCTCTACATTCCTCACAGGTTTTATGATTGCCTAACGAGGGGTTTCCGTGCCGTGCCGGATGTGGATGTCTAATATTAGACTCCATTATTTTTAGGTGGCTGGTGCTGCTACAGCAAAGAGACCTGTGATTCTAGGTTCCAAAATATCCCACGACTAATGAGCTCATCAGGCTGGCCCCAAACCAAAAGAGGTAGGTCAGACGTTCATGGTTTAAAAACATGTCGTAACTATCGCCGCTCTGTTTTTGTCTAAGCTATAACAAGACAGCCGGAACATGTGTCTGATCTCTGCTGGCTGAACTTTTAGGAACTGGGATACTGTCTTCTCAAGTGGAGGAAAACCCACACTGGCATAATGCAAACATAGTGTAAGTTTTATATTTTAATTTTCTGTGGTTGTCACTCCTGTCAAATGATACTAATAAATAAACCACAATAAAGTTAAGCAATATACTAATTGTTTATGTAATAAAGAAAAGAGAAATTTTGGTTTCCAACAAATGATATATTCTGATACTTTAATGGATACATAATGAATATGGTTGATTTGGTCCAAAATAGAAATAACCGTTATGTTAAAGGAACATGAACGTCTCCTCAGGTTCATCCCATACTGTTCCAGCGATGTATGGAGTGGTACTGGACCGACGTCAGCCGCTCCTTCACGGCCACAGCAAGGGAGAGAAAGAGAAGGGGAAAGAGAGAAGAACGAAAATACAAGTAAGTTATGGTCAGCGTAATTTTGTTGTTAAGTACATTAGTGAGTACTGTTAGTAAATTGTTCCACTGTGGCTGTTGTTAGCTGAGTATACCTTTATGGGATCCCTCATCATCCGTGAGGTCATCAAAGATCTCGTTCCCAAAGGAATCAAGCAGGCCAAGGTGGTGATGCTGTCTGGCACCAGGTAGGTTTATTTTAGTCACTCACACTCTGACCTCATCAGCTGACCACAGCTTTGTGAACACAACCTATGTCCTCTGTCCCATCTGGACCCGCTCTATAGCTAATATTAAACAGGAGAGACACTACTTCGGCTGCATCCTCTTGTCAACAATAAAGATGTTTACAACCAACTTTAAGCTTTGACATAATGTTTATTAAGGGGCCTTGGCCTGTAAAGGCGAACATTCCTCCCAGGTTAACAGCATACTGTAGCTGTTTAGAACCCCACCCCCCACACCCCCCATGCAGTGCTACTACATTTTTACTTCCCTGCTGTTAGCAGGCATGTTCTGTCATTCTAACACCCCTCAAATATTTACTGTTGTTTTTGAACGTCTGAAGTGCTGGAGGGACAGGTGTTTTGCTCAACATTGAGAGGGTGGCCAGTCAGTTAGAGCAGCTTGGTGCAGAGGCCCAGGTCCGAGGCCTCGTGGACTCAGGCTGGTTTATAGAAAGTAAGCAACAGAGACCCGACAACTGCCCAGAGACTGTGTCCTGCTCACCTGAGGATGCCATTAAGATTGGACTGAGGTAATGATAGGAGTCTTCGATTAACCTTTGCTTTCCTATGTTTTTCTGGCAGTGAAATGTGTATGTCTAGGAGAATATTCTTTTCTTCTCAGGCTGTGGAATGGGGTCGTGCCTGACAGGTGTCAGCAGCTCTATAAGAAAGGAGAGGAATGGCAGTGCTTTTTCGGACACAAGCTTTTCTCTACCTTGACCTGTGAGTGCTAACTGCAGCCCATGTTTGATTGTTAGCAAACTCCTGGTCCACAGAGGAAAACATGTCTAATGTTTTGGTTCTTAGCCAAGTCAAGGTGTTTTATTTGATGCTGGAGCTGCAGAGTCAGAAGTTTTTCAAATTTACTAAACTAAACTTTTTTAAAATTCTACAGTTTTATTCTAGATTAAACACCCGAACCATCATTGTTCATTAAATCAGCAGCTGTTACGTGAGAGTCTTCCTTGTCTAACCGTTTGCCCTGTGTTTCCTGCAGCTCCTCTGTTTGTTGTGCAGTGGCTGTTTGATGAGGAGCAGCTCAGAGTGGAGAACATCTACATAGGAGGACAGAGTCTGTCTGAGGAGCAGTGGCAGTACATACAGAACCTGGGCGTGGAGCTGAAGAACTCTCTGAGGGATGTGACGTGAGTTTATCCAGTGACCCCCAGATAATAGTCAACAATGTCTCCTGTAGCTCTTGAAATCCTACAAAATGGGATTGATTCTACACCTATATGTGTGATTTTCAGGGCTGTATTTGCTCCATCCTGCCTCTCACACACAGTGCTGACTAGAAGGTAAGAACTGGAATGTGAGTCCTCTGGTATGAACTAACTTTTACTTCTGCTACCTCCGATTCATTCACCTTTATTCCAGTAGCCATTTTTACCTTCTGTGCCTGCGCTGCTGCTTCTGTTCACTCATTCATCATGACACATTCCTCTAGTTAGTGAATGCAATTTCACACTTTCTTTAACCTCTTGGTAACCCTTAGACCTCTCTACTATTTTCCTGCTTACCCTGAAAAGTCACAGCATCACAGCGTGACTGTACAAAAACTTAATTCAAGTCGTTATCCTCAACAATATCAATCAATTTAATCAAAAACATCTCCGACAAATCTATAATCTAAATCATAAGATCATATATTCTCCAGAACATTTGATCATTAAGGTTATGATCACATATGGAAACGTGTGATACATAAATAGAAGCAACGTTGCTGACGTTAAGTCAGTGACCCACATGTTGTCATCAATTGGCTAATTATATTTAACGTCAATCATCTTTGTCCCAAACAAACTACCCACCTACCATTTTCACCACTCCATGTTATCATTCTTCTAGTAACTGGATAACTGTCCAAGTAAAAGGCACCTCTCTACCACGGGCCCTGCACTGCTGGGACCGTAGTCTGGAAGCAACACGCAACAATCGGACCCCTGCCAAAGGCTGCCCTTTCCACCTTGTAGACACCTGCCAGTGGCCCCAGTGCAACCCCACTTGTCCAGCCCTGGTGGACCAGGCCACCCAGCAGGAGCTTACATTACTCCAGATGCTCATGGCCATGGGCCTTGACCCTCAGAAGCTGGGCTTAGACCCCCAGGGAGTTGAAGATTCCCTTGACAGCATGGTCAGCAATGGTGGTTAGGTTTTGGAGAAATTAAAATAAAAAGTCAGGCAAAGGATTCATGGAGGGGAACAAGTGTGTTGAAACTTTAATGTAACCATAGAAATAGTACATAAATCTGGTTACTATGTCCCATGCCGCTCAGCATTCCTTCATGCTCCATGTTAAACTGATGGCTTGTGGGTATGTCGCTAATTTTGGGTCTCAGTGGTTTGGCTCTCCCTCTACTGGACACCAGAGGAAAGAGATTTGGTTTTAAACTAGGTCTGTTTCAGTTGTACTGCCTGAAGAGCATTACATATCAGAAGGTGGCTGGGCATACTCCCTCACCATCTACAGGTTCTCTTTATCCTGATCACTCAACTGAAACTTCAGCTAAAAGTATTGACAGCAGAGTTATCACTGTTCATGAATAGAGGCTTTCTGCAGGATGCCTTTAACACTATAATAGATATCTGAAGAGAAACTTCTGCATCATATTACTTAATTTGAACTATTGGACATCTTAATAAAGTTTATTTATTTTCTTTATACTCTTAGAATACTGTTATATGTTCTAGCAAGTATTTTGGTTCTCATACAAAATAATGAAGTTTAAAGTCTCAGCTCTCACACAAAGTGAAATGTTTTAGTTGTTTTTTGTCTTTGGCTCCTGATCCAGCTGCTGTTTTCAAAGAAGAATAAGTATATTTGCAGTATTCTTCTACTTTATGAAAATGAAACTCTGTGGTAATTCACCACACAGAACTTGCTACACATGTCATGTAAAGACATAATATAGACTCTGTGTTGCAATTTTTCTTTCATTGTTATGCATTACAACCATAACTGTGCCACTGTGTTTTATTCTACCTTTTGAAATAACCATGTCCTGTGATTTATATTTAACTAACTGAATTTCATGGTTGCATTTGTGGAAATCGATGTTGACAGAAGTAAATAAAATATTATAATGCTCTAAGAATGCTTTATGTGTGTTTTTTTACTCTCTTGAGCCTGCCAGTAAATATTAGCGTTGATTTTCGAATTAGTCGGGGGCTTCTTTGTCCATGTAAGTTACCCTTTAAATACTAGTCTAACTAAGCAAAAGGACACCAGGCAGATAGAAAACATGTGGGAGTAATTAGCCTACTATCATTTAATAAAGTGCAAATAAAATGCAATTTTATTTTACAACATAAACTATGCTCATAACTTAATGTTTCTACAACAAACAAATCTCCTTGGTTGTGTTCTAATGACAGCCAGTGAAACATCATCGTCCAAAGAAATGGTCATGAGTTTGTTAATATTATTACAGATTTCCAAAATGTGAAGGATGGCTATGTATCTAATGTTTTTGCTAAATAATATGATATAAAACAAAAGCAAGATATACGTAAGTTAGGTAAATCGTAGGTGTATTTTGTTTACGTTAGTGTAATGATAAAGGTACACAGTTATCGCGCTGATGTGAATCATCTTCCCTTGAAGCGGTCTCTGTTGGTTTCCCATATTGCACTGCGCAATTCTACTACTTCCTCTTTCCGCCATATTGCAGAACCGGTAAGATGTCTGTTTTTGCTGTCACCTTCAATCTTTTAAGTATCTGAAGCATCACAAAGTTTTATATATATTTTATATAATCACGATGAAGCAGAACATCATAGGAATTATTTAAAATGATTATCGTGCCTGTTAGTGGAGGAATTTAGTCACAGTTGTATTGAATGCTTCCTAAGACCCCCACTGTTCGGCCCTAGGTTCGATGCTTCCAGGGCGCGCTGACAAACTCATTGGTTCACAATATATTGGGATTTTTCTTGTTGATAAAATTACAAAATGTAATGTTGTTCTGAGGTTCTATGTACGGTACACCATATGTTTTCAAATCACCCTTTGCAAACTTAAAAGTGTTACGTTCCATGTACGAATGCCACCGGCTAGGCTAAGCTAAGTAGCAACTCGTTCACTCGCGAAAGACCATGCTTCAATTGGGAGTCTGCTTTAGCTTTTTCATTTTAAAAGAAGCAAAATGACCTCGTTCTTTTTGTGTGGGATCTCGCTTATGTTGGCTTAATACCTTTATATTTGGTGAATGTTCATGCGTTTGTTGGTCTACGGTAGCATCGCTTTAGTAGTGCTAAAACCAACTGTGGTAACTGTCCACAATGTCCAGCCTTTGCCAGTCGTGATTTTCGTCTCGTTGATGACCACTACGTGCTAAATGTACTTGTATCACCACACTAGGTTATATGACCGTTATTGTAGGTGTGGCATCCGATACATTTTATTTTGTTGATGAGTGGTATTGATTGATTTAGGCGTTAGAGGCACGAAATTGCATTAAAATGAACATGCGACTGCACGGTACAGTGTCTTAGTTTCCGTTTCTATCATTTCAGGCATCATGGTGCGCATGAACGTTCTCGCGGATGCTCTGAAGAGCATAAACAATGCTGAGAAACGTGGGAAACGCCAGGTCCTCATTAGGCCTTGCTCCAAGGTTATTGTGCGCTTCCTCACTGTCATGATGAAGCACGGTAAGTCTAACTTGGTTCCATTGGGTTGGTTGGAGTGTGTAGTTGTGAAAATGCATGGTTCAAGTCTCCTCTGGTCGTTGGTCTTTGATTTATTGTTATTGAAGAAAATGTTGGGGTTTTTTTTTCAATTAAAATTGTGTATCTCTGATTGCCTTGCTTTATTGCATCAACTGTAAAATGCTTATGTTAATTAACTGTATTTGGCTAGTAACAGCGCTTGTCCTCCAAATTCTCAGGTTACATTGGTGAGTTTGAGATCATTGACGACCATAGAGCCGGAAAAATTGTTGTCAATCTCACAGGCAGGCTGAACAAGGTAAGAACTTGTATTTGATATTTCAAGTTATCCCATTGCTGATTATGTACTGTATCACCTTGTGCATATTTATGATGCCTGCCTTGTCTTATTGTTGGCTGTTTAACGTCCTTTGCATTAAAAATTTAAAACATTATGTGCTTGCATTGGTTTGTGAATGCATAGAAAGACTATGCTATGGTGTCTCCTACTACATCTTGCCCTTCGTATACTTCTGCTGTATGGCTTTTGTACTTTCACTAAAATATAACAAAACTGTCACTAATGTTGGTTTATAGACTTGACTGTGGGGAAAAAAATACTGCAATGACGGGGGATGTTCTAGAACTTTCACGAAACCCATGTACCAGTATGAACACATCTGCATTTTACACATTTAAATGAATTTAAATTGTTTTTATGGTTTGCTGTGTTCATTTTCACAAACTATATTTTTAAGATATGTGTGAATCATACAGGGTGGTAATGCTTGTGTGTTCAGCTTTTTTCTCATGTTAAAGCAATTTGTGAATCATGGAGGACATTCAGATGTTTAATTTATACTGTAATATTCTGCTGTGCCTCTTTTATAATGGAAGCTTAAACTTGTGCATTTTCTTTTCAGTGTGGTGTGATCAGTCCACGTTTTGATCTCCAGCTTAAAGATTTAGAGAAGTGGCAGAACAACCTGCTGCCCTCAAGACAGTTCGGGTAAGAACATCTTCAACTGATCTCTTTATTCCAATTAATGATGATGACCAGTAGAGCGTGAACCCTTTCATTGAGTCGAAACCTGGTGTTAAGTGAATTTTTCCCCATACACCTGCAATTACTATGATGTTCTGATTTCAAAGAACATTGAACATGTTAGCTCACAAAGAGCAGTTTTATTACTGTTCTTTGGTCGCCTTTTTTTTTGTCTATCATACAGTCTTTGGCTCATGTGGAAGTGTGGTTGATTTTTCAATTGAAAAATTGTTGTTTTAGAGTTGATTTTGGACATCTTGGCCTTTAGTCTGTTTTGTCTGTAGGTGCAAAATAAAACAGCAGTGAAAAAAAGGATGGCTCAATACAACTTTTTCATGTCTGACACTGCTCCTTGGAGTACCTGCCGATATCAATCTGCTACCTTTTCTCCTCCAGCATGCTGTGGGCTGCTGTTGTTGAGGCAATAGTGTCCCTCTAAACGGCATGTTGCACAGTTAAGTTGAGCGTTTGGGCTTTGGATCTTATGGGCTATAGTTGTTTTCTTTTCTTTTTTAGTTGTTTTTTTTTCTTTTTTTTTTGTTTTTCTGATTTCAAGTAGGACGAATTTTCTTCATCTGGGCTGGACTGGCTTACACTTAGGAACCAATTAATTTATCATTTAAATCAGCATTGGTCCTTGGTTTCAGCTCACTTCTGTTTTTGAAGGGAGTACAGAAGTGAGTTTTGTGGTGTGTGCACAACTTGGATTCAGGAGTAACTTTGGGCATACGTTTCTGTGTACATTTGTGAATAACTGTACTTTGCAAAGAACTGTATTTGTTCAAATGTAGCTATAGCGATAACAATAAACGAAACAAAGTTGTTGGTTACTTTAATTGTGCTGACTGTTCTGAATGTATCACCTGCAGTTGTTGTTTTTTTTGTTTGTTTTTAATTTAAAATCTGAACAGTTTGAATTTGTGATGCTGCGCTTGCTCTCCGCATTATTAACTGGTGTCTCCACCACTGTCCACAGGTACATTGTGCTGACCACATCAGCTGGCATCATGGACCATGAAGAGGCCAGACGAAAACACACAGGAGGCAAAATCCTTGGATTCTTTTTCTAAAATGTAAAGAACTGCAAATAAAAAAACAGGAGAAAGTGTTGTCTGTTTTGACTTTTTTCATATTTGGACTGAAAAGGTACTACTTTGTACTGCAGTAGTTTTTGTCCTAAACTTACTACAAAAACTACTACAGTACTGTTATCCTCACAACTGTATTGCCTTGGACTGAGAACTGCAAATTGTTACTTTGCAATTTCAAAAGTTTTTTTGTTTGTTTGTTAGTTTTTTTTGCTTCTAGCTGTCTTTACTTGTAGTGACTGACTCACTGACAGTTTGTGACAGTCAGTGTTTCTCAAACTTAAGTGCATGGACCACTGGTGGTTCATAGGTGTCACTTAGGTGGTACGAAGTCGGAATCCTGTTCTAGGTAGATATTTTGTTGATACTAGTACCTGTTGCGGTACTATCTTTGAGAAGACTGTCTGGTCTTGACTCACCAATGTAGATCTCTGCTGCTGTGTTTTAAAGTTGTGCTTACTACTGCTACAGGGTGAGACGGGTGTCCAAGTTGGACATGTTTGTCTGGGGCTGCTAAGAGCTGCCTCATCTGTTCCATGGTCACCAGTTTGTTAGAAGTTTGGACTTTTCCACTGCTTCCGCTCTCAACAGTGTGACCTTTTCACTGGCTCTGGGTGCGTTTTATTCACATCATTCATTCTGTTGGGGAGTCAGGCTGCTGACCTTCATCAGACTCCACAGAGAGGGAACTAACAGTCTGCTAATGCAACAGCTCTGTGTAAGTGCTCTGTATTGGCCAAACACAGACTGATGGCTTCCTCTTTGGCTTCACAGCACTTAAAGTGATGTCTTGTCACTGAACAATCTCCCAAGTGATTACTTTTCATATGTCACAAACGGATACAAGGGGTATCCAGTCCTTAAAAATAGAAGTGTGAAATCTGCAAGAAAATGGTGACATTTGAAATCTCATAGATGTAGGAGTGATGTTAAAGTAGATTGTTTCTGTGTGAATGAGAACATGGCTTTTGTTTCTACATTAATCAATTTTATAAAAATGCAGTTATGCTACTGATGCTGATACTTGAAAATGAATGACCTCAGACATTTTGGAATACTTTGAACAACCCAAGTGTGTGAGGGTCTTCGCTGTGTTGTTGACTGGACTAGAATGTCCTCTAGATCAGCGGTCTCCTACCTAAAAACTCATATTTTATAAATATAATGAACATTGAGTATGCAACTTATCAGCGTCCTCGTAAAATTGTGCTTCTCTTTTGATGCAGAATGCTTGGTCTCCAAGTGGCGAAGTAGTTTTGAAAGCTTCATTGCCTCATTATTATGCAGCGTGGGCTCTG